CCATTACACGGGGGGGGAGGCAAAAAAAGTCACTTTTCTTCCTTGACTTTCGAGGCGCTATAAGTTACACTTTATAAATTCTGATCGGACATTTCTACCACCATATTAAAGAGCATATTAAATACTATTACTAATATTTTGTTTGATAATGGCTGTTTTTAGCGCCGGGTACGCGTTAACGAAGAGTTATCACAAGAATGCTGAGTTGTGGGCAAAAGTCGTGCCCCAGGCGGGAGTCGAACCCGCACCTCACGCTTTCCGGGCGAGTGCGCTATCCGTTACGCCACCAGGGCCGCTTTTACCCTCTCAGCTTAACGGCTTATGCCGTAACCTATAGATCACGGCTGACGAAATTACGGCTGAGGCGGCTTCACCAAGTTAAACGTGTGAGTGCTGTAAGGCTACGGCAATAAGCCGTTAAGCTGAGAGGGTAAAAGCGGCCCTGGTGGCGTAACGGATAGCGCACTCGCCCGGAAAGCGTGAGGTGCGGGTTCGACTCCCGCCTGGGGCACGACTTTTGCCCACAACTCAGCATTCTTGTGATAACTATTAATATACTTATACTCCGTCACAACGCCTTACTAGAAGAGCGCCATCCGAGAGATTCTGGCCTGCGCGAAAGAGGAACCAGTTAGTGTGCCTGAATTCAAAACAGATACTTGATTTCGCCCGCCACTGTATACCACAATATTGTAGCTCCGTCCAGAAGCCGGGTTAGATGTGAGGAGAATGGTTATATGACAGCCTGCCAGATTATTCCATCCCTAATTACGGTACTCAACGCTCTTTCCATCCAAGTAGGCCGAGAGTTTTTCCAACGCCCATTTCTATGTGGTTGGACCTCGAGCTTAGCAGTAAGTAGCAGTACAAAGTTTCCAAGAAGGTACGGGCGACGACATGTGGGAGGATATTCTTCTCGAGTTGCTCGATGTAACCGCCAGCGCTCACCTTCAGTCCGGGGTCCACGAAGAAAATATTGGTCTTCCATTCCAGGTACGTCCGGTCCATACCATCAACCCGCGCCTTGGCGACTGGTGAAGATGATGTCCTAGACCGTAGCGACGTTGTCGGAGCTGCTCGATGTTGGAGGTCTCCATAGAGTAGCGACGTTGTCGGAGCTGCTCGATGTTGGAGGTCTTCCAGATCGAGAGTACTGGTCTCCAGGTAGCTATCCATGGGTGACTCCATACTAGAAGTTTCGCAGCTGTTTGGAGGTGACATGAATTCCAAAGGTCTTCTCCAGTCAGGCTGCGACTGGAGATGACTTCATATTTTGGTGTACATGAAGGTGATGGGCGAGAGCCAGCTCCTGCTTATCGAGGAACATCTTGGGTATCTTCCGCCCTGGTACTCGTATCCACGTCCTCTGTCTGGGCTGCGAAAACTTTGCTGATATGTGACTCGGTCGAAGTGACTTTTTTTGCCCCCCCCCCTGTATTGTTGAAAGCATGCAAAGGCTAACATTGCGAGCAGCGTGGGACTTTCCGCTTCTCCGGCTTCTTTTTTGAAACACCGTAGGATTGGTTGACTTCGCCCGTTAGTAAATTGCGCAGCTTCCCGCACCAGGGGTTCTCCAAATCACTACACAAACTTTCCTTTCTCGTCGATTCTTCGGGATTGCGGCTTCTGCACATTCGCAAAATATGAACGCTAACGTAACTGGAGCGGGAGGGGACAGAAGAACATTCGGGAGCACCCACGGTTTTCTTCCTCTAATCAACGCCAAGGTTTAGTGGAGAGTTGTCTTCTCCGGATATTATTATACTTCACTGCTACTCTGATCGTCTGAGCTCTAAAGCCCGAGCATCGGTGAAGGAAAAGAGCCTAGAGGCATGACAGAATGATCCCTTCTCCAACTACGCTAACAGAAAAATGCTTTCTCACTGAAAATGCAGCGAGAAACTCTATTCCGTGCATAAACTCCTTGTATATACCTGTATGAGCACGAATATGTCGTACAAGGTTACTTTGCACTTTGAAGGACTGATTGCAGTACTTGCACTTGTACGGGGCTTCCCCTGTATGAATGCATCTGAAAAATGATAGTTTCAAAATTGAGTGACTTACTAGTAATGGTAATTCTGATTTGTGATAGTTACAGTCTCACGACAAACTAACCGTATATGCTTCTCAAGTCCACTCTTTTCTTTCGACCTGTGGTCACAATACGGACATTTGAACGGTTTTTCCATCATTACCTAAACATCTGCAATGCATGGGAATCACATAAAGACAATTCTAACCAGTCGATTCTATACAGACTTTAGAGAACATCTTGGAAAACTGCGGTGCGCTACCAAGCAAATTAATAAGCAGGGAATCTGGCGATGGAGATACCAAAAAATCCAGCTCATCCCCCCGTAAGCAATAAGATGGGAGCAGATTGACAAATTAGTTTCGTTGAGAAGTACAGCTTCACAGAATAGATGATCCATACATTCAAAACATGCGATTCCATGAATAATATGGAAAGCCGAGGGGCATACTGCCTCGTCCGCCGCGGATGCGGGGGCGTGTCAGGGAGGCTAGGTTTGGCGAAGCGCCAGCATACTCTACCAGTTGTTCACGGGAGGGGGAGCAAGCAACAATTGGAGGAGAACAGGCCGGTGCCGCGCCAATCCCGAACCCCCTCCTCCCCCCTCCCTGAAACGCCCCAGCATCCACACCAAGCAGGACTTTGCACTTGCATCTAATGTGAACCTAATTTTTTGAAACTAGAACACCCACCCTCTGATCACCCACTATAAGTGGTACTGTGACATCACTTGCTCCAACAATTTCTGGAAGACCGTAACCGAAGCTATCCACAGCCGACGTTCTTCGCTCATTTTCTTGGAGAAACGACATTGTCACCGCTGGCACATTAACGTCTCCATTGTTCGCATCAGCTGCAAAATTGGAGTAAGAAACGATGTGTTTCACTACAGTGCATTGACAATAGGCAAACACCATTCATAATAAAAAAAGATAGTGGGAGGACGGCACTGCGTGCTGCTACAACAGCGGTAAGCACCAACATTCGATGACTTTGACGCCTTATGAAAATATGAGCGTAGATTCAGCGATCATCTGCTCTAGAAAAAGTCATTTCCATTTTCATAGCCAAGGGAAATCCTACATCACAAAGTGTTGATAACTTATAGTTTTCTCGATTAGATTTTCATTCGGTTTACACACGAACGAGAGATCAGCACTTTCCTACAATCAGCGAAAACCTTGGAACTTTTTGCATGAAAACTTTTACCTCTGGAGCTTATTAAGTACGCTGCTAAGGGTGAATCTGGGAGGAGGAGTGATCTCCTTTAGGAGAGGCACAGCCTTAGCATGACGCAAAAGACCAGAGTGCCTCACAGTAGCGTCGGCGCAAGAATAGAGTCATATTCGTAACTAGGGTGTCAGGCAATCCCCGTAGTACAGGTACTCGTCATTTCCGGTGAGTAAGGTGGTAGGCCCAGATGGCCTTCGGAACAAATATCATAACCGTGATTAGGGGACGAACACCCCCCTCCCCCCCCTAAGCAGCTTTTCAGAGATTTTGATTAGAAAAAAATGTGCCGCCAACTTGGCAAGAGGTGGCACCTTCAAAAAACGAATGCCAAATGTTTGCGATCAAAGGACAACACCCCTATAGACGGAGTTTAGCGTTTTACTGTTAATAGTGTTCAAAAAACCAGTTATAAGCAGTCTGGTTGATACAAATCAAATGGGAACGTCAGTCTGTTCAAATCGAATGTGAAACGTACGGACAGACACAACTGTTGTTCCTCTGACGACAACTGGTTGATATCTGTTACGGTTCATACGAATAGCAGTTCTTCTACCACGACGAGGTCCCATAACATATTCTTCGTAAATCGAATCATAGTCATCGGCCGCTTGAGCAGTAATGTCCTCAGGGCAATAGTTCAACGATGCGGAATTCCCATTTAACTTGTTGCCCTCAGGTCGGTTACCTGAAAATGTGTGGAGATGGGGATTACGTGGCTCATACCAGCTGAACAGAAGCATCAATTCTACCACCAATCGATAACCAAAAAGTAATGTTCACAGAAGAACACATAATGACAGAACGTACGTGAGAAATCGTTATTACCAGCATGATTTCCAGAAGTATTCTCATCCATGGGGATTGAAAAATTCATACCAAACATTCCTAAAAACGGGGCCATTTCAAACCGAAATGGTAACATTACACAGGTAGAGAAACAAACCCTACAGCCATCTTGCTTCAACACATGAAAACATTTCATCACCAATGATGCAAGGATCCGACGGAAATGCTGAACAAATACAAAAATGACTCACTATATTGGTTCGATTCCTCTTCTTCATCTGCCAGTTTACGAGCACAATGATCAACAAGGTCTACTAGGCGATTCATGCCAAGTTCGAAAGCCGACAGACGTAACATTCTGAACCGCCGCCGCCCCACGTCCAGTACTCCCGTGTAAGCGAAGTCCACTAGCATCTTCATATTTTCTCTGAAACGAGAGGCCTAAGCTTACAGACCATATAACACTAACGAATAAATCCTCAATATGAAAATTTTCTCAAATTAAAAAGCACAAGACAGTTAATCTGATGAAACTATAGTAGGACAATGCACTGAGTTCACAGGAGAGACGGGCAAGAGAATCGTTATTTGCCGCTCCGCCGCGCGCGGCGTGGGCGCGGCATTTTCTTAACTCGTGTTAACCTGTCGATTGGAGCACCGGACTTCATGTAGACCCCGTCATCGTAGACATTCATGACCATTTTCGGTTCTGAATTGCCTGTTGTCGCCATCTACTACCTGGAACCATCGTCATTTGCGGGCGCGACGTCGCACGCGACGCCCACAGCGCGGCGAATTACGATTCTCTTGTCACATACCCGGTCACAAAAAACTGCGCTCACTTCACCACGAATACCGCGTGAAAATTAATTTTCATTGAGCCCTCAATCTGCGCTAATACTCTGCGACAGGAAACTAGGTGAGGCGGCAATCTGACGTTCTAGAATCGTGGTGCATGAAGTAGCAAAGTAAGAACAAACACATCCTCCCGGACTAGTACCAAGTGATCTCCCCATCCTACCTACCATATTACTAAATTTCCCCATCATTCCAGGTTTCCTACCGCCCTTCTAATATTACAGGAATTTATTCAGTATTTCGCCAAAAATTGCAGTGGGGCGGGCGGGAGGGGGCGGGGGACATAAGCGCTCCCTGGAAAATTCCTGCCAAGGCCAGACACGACCTCTTACCAGCGATTAAGTACGACCCCACCCCTCCCATCCATGCAATTCCTCCAACAGTGTCGTAGCCTATCTACGAGAATGCGCCCCCGAGGAAAGATCCTGGAAAAGCGCGTCGTCGTCGACGTTGTCTCAAAACCTCGAACTGCTAGACACCGAAGTCGAGCGATACCTATCCATCTCTTTGGCGCACATTCTCCAAAAATCAGTGAGTCTCCAACTTTCTCGTTGCAATTAACGAAGCAGTACGCCTTTTTAAAGCCATTAGACCATCGGGGACTATCTAATGGTTCTGCATCCCTCTAGGACCCAATTCAATAAGCGACTCTATAGGAGAGAGCGATGGGGGTGTAAAACTATTTTGAGTCCCATAGTGCGTTCTTTTTTTGAATGAAAGCAAGGCATTCCAGTAATTTTTGAATATAGGTACTAGAGAAAAAAGGCAAAAACACTTAATCCAAACAAGAGTATTTCTTACGTGGAAATATGTACACTGCGTGAATCGATCCTGAGTGTGACTACACCGCTATTCAAAGTGCCCATTAAAGCAGCCTCCAAATGTGCGCTGTGCGCACACATGACTAGTCGATGACAACGAACTATAGCCAAACGCTGAAGAAAAAACCTTGGCATGTAATCGCACCGTAATCTAATTTGTCGAGAAAAGCTGAGGAATCCGAGGGAGACCTACAGGCGAAGACGAAGCTACGTCTGCAGAGGTTGCTTTCCAAGGTCCCCTAGATGAACTCAAATTCAGAATTACCTCGGTTACGATGTTACAATCAAGAAACTTCGACTCCTTTCTGAATTTCGCCAGCTGTTCTTGGAATCGAATTTCGTGCCATTCGTCATGGAGGTCGTATCCATCCTCGTTAGTCGAACTCAGCAACTAGATTAACAATCAGATTAGCGGCACAGTATGAAGAATTTCCAAGCTTCTCTCTTCTTGCAACCTCGGCACGGTAAATTGTACTTATGTTAGTAATGTTGTGCCTCACGAGGTTGGTAGGTGGAACATTTATTAAATCGGCCTAACGTTTCGACTGATTCGTCGTCTTCGGAGGCCTAAAAGTGGTTCGAAATTCAGATTTATGCTCTACACCACCAAGCGCTTCATTTTCTCTAGCGGTTCCGACATTCTGTCGAGAACGTCGAAGAGAAATCCAAGCAACTCAGAAAACTAATTCACCAGGGGTTCCACCTTCAGTGAGGAAAAGTCCGCTACCACTTTCAAGCCTTAGCAGATAACCTTTTTGTAAAGCGCTGTACTTTTCGCTGTACCTTTTTGTCAAGCCCTGCAGATTTCGCTGTCTACTAACGCTCAACAGTGGTAGCGTATTTTTCCGCTCCGAAGGTGGAACCCTCGGTGATTATGTTTTCTGAGTTGCTTGGATTTCTCTTCAAGGTTCCCAGCAGGATGTCGGAACCGCTAGGGAAGATGAAGAGCTCGGTGATGTAGAGCAAATCTGAATTTCGAACCACTTTTAAGCCTCCGAAGACGAGAACCAGTCGAAACGCTAAGCCGATTACATAAGAAGTTCCACATACCAAAAACTCTTAAAATCACAACATACGTAACACAAATCAGCTTACTGTCCCCAGCTGCCACGTCATCTTAAAAAAGAAAAAATCGGTTCAAATAGCACTCTACTGCAGAAAGAGACTGTACATCAAAGAAATGACGCTGCATGATTCGAGTCTGAGAGCAACCGACAAGAACCCTTATACATTAACTCTATTACTAAAACCATTTTTCTTCGGAGATACCTGAAATAACGACCGGGCAAATTTGTTCAGCCGTACCAGACACAACGACTTCAACATTATTAATTCTAATTATTAACTTATATTTCCACTTCACAGGATTATCTGATCTATAGGTAATGGTCAAACCAAATATGACAGTCTGCCTGAATGAAAAGTACCTTAAGTGACCGTCGCTTTTTCTTCCATAAATGTAAAACACCTCTGATTTCATCTGAATGCCCATACCTTTCGCTTACATGGATGACTCGCTCGTAGGTTGTTTTAGGGGCCGGCTGGTACGGGAAGGGAGGGAGCACTGCCGCTTCCCACTTTCCCGAGTCATTGCTTTACAAGAGTGGCACGTTTTTGGGTTATAAACTTCTACTGCACCATTCATGTTTTCAAAGATCACAAATCTCTATCTTATGGCTCCGACACGCATGTCCGTTTAGCACGAAAAGGCCCTATAGTCCAATCATGCGGTCTCGAGTTTACAACGCACACCCAACCGTCTGTCGCGCAAACGATGGAAACCAAATTCCACGTATTAGCTTGCCTTTCCACTTCCATTTAGTCATTCAGGTCCTGGTATGAATGCCGCGCACAGGATACCGTTCCACTCTCTCACCAGTTCAAACGTTTATTCTTCAACGATCGCCAAGTTTCTAGTGTCATTAAACCTGTTCAAAATGCGCATCTTTTCTAGCGGAGCATTTCCAGAGTAGCTGCTTAATCGACTGATCTCCTCAAAAACTACCAAAGCCGCCTTTCGCATACAACACATTCGCGATGCGATACATGCATTTCTAACTTGCTATGATATTTACGGATTGCTAGCTTCGCATATTCCCAAGAGCCCATTGCAGCCTATCGTCAAGAGCACATGGAGGTAATATACAAAAATGACTCTAGAGTCATGAATTTTCATTGGATGAGATATCGAATAAACTGTAAATACCGCTACAACCAGTCGTCGCTCGAGATGCTCACAGATCGAGCAGAACCAATCCTTAAAGTCTGCACACTTACGATTACAGGAAAAGCGTGCTATGCAAATCGCTGCGCCTCATTCGTACCCCATTAATATCAGCTCACGTTGTCACGTAACAAGAAGGAAAATGTTTCACAGTCACTCATGTTCGCCGGAACTGATACCACAATCTTCGATCTTCATTACGGGCCACCCTTCAAGGCATCACACTCATATACGAATGAAAACAGCAGACACCAATTCTATTACCTACGGCCTCCACAGCCAATTATCTGTTAGGATTGAGAAGAAAAACTGGCACTGTTCAACTATTACTACCCCAGTTTTCCGAAAACGAGGCCGGATCTTGATCGACTTTTTTCTACGGGGGCAGATTTGGCTGAAAGTTGGGTTTTAGGGGTAATTCGACCTCATCACATCCACTTGGCCTGAAACTGCGTCGCCCGCGCCACAGGCGCCGGCGCCAAAGTACCCTAGATCACCAAATCCGCTGAAAACTTGTGCCCAGGGGTAGTTCGACCTCCTGAACACGAATATCACATCCGCTCGGCCTGAAACCGCTCGGCGCCCGCGCCACAGGCGCCGGCGCCAAAATGCCCTAAATCGCCTGTGGCGCGGGCGCCAGGCACTTTCAGGCCAAGTGGATGTGATATTCGTGTTCAGGAGGTCGAATTACCCCTAGAACCCAATTTCAGCCAAATCTGCCCCCGTAGAAAAAAGTCGATCAAGATCCGGCCTGTTTTCGCAAAACTGGGGTAGTAATAGTTGAATAGTGCCAAAAAACTCAACAAGAAATCAGTAAGAGTAATCTGAGTAGGTGCTAACCTAAAGCAAAGTGGTTATTCGGCAGCGTAACTGTGTACTTTGGCATCTATAAGGCTCAGGGTTAGTAGAGCGCAGATCACCAGAGCCTGCATGGCCTTACACCCGAAATCCCTGAGATTTAGTGGGCGTGGCTGCGTACCTCAACAAAACAAGCGGTGGCTGTGCTCTTGAAGAGATATTTTCATTTTGATACAATGGCCGTACAAGATGACATTTGTTTCAAACTGAAATATCACAGGAATAACCCATCCCGTGCCATGTTCAAATGCCACGCCTACACTGTCTCAGGGATAGGGAGTGTAATAGCAGTGTAGATACAGAGGCGCCGTCTCTGACCCCTTTGAGTTGCGCTAGCACCTTGGAGTCTAAAAAGAGACACAAAGGATAAAAACATTACATAGAAAAAACTAACCAGTGGCCACCGGATCGAAATTCAATGTGACAACTCCGTTCGGAGCCTTCAATAACGCCTGCTCAATATTTTCACTGAATGCAGCGACTAACAAACGATTAGATCGAGCTATTGTTTTGTTGCCATTTTCGAAAATCAAGTCGAGGAGTCGTTCATTCTGAAACAACACTTTGGAAGTCTAGAAGCGAGAACATTTGAATCTACAAAGCTTCCTACGACTACTGGTCAAAGATATATAAATCGCTTTCGACTGTGTTCAGCGTGTTAGCGGACAGTTTCGATGACTCTGTCAAACCCTAATCCAATTAGTAGTTCGTTTCTCAAGATGAACACAAAGTTGCGAGTTAGCGACAACTTCGGCGACAGGGGGGGGGCATTTTGTACTATCACTGCTTCCTAGTTCCGGTTTACAAGTCTCACTCTGGCGAAACCTGTGAACTCTTGTGAAGCTGGAGCAAGGTCAAGCCATCATGTTAAAACCTGTCAACTCGAGAAGAGGCTGTCTAGATAGGTCGACACGTCGATGGGAAGTAGCAAAAGTGCAAAATGCCCCCGTCGCCGAACTGCGCCCAAAGTTGGACGTCATATTAGTTGGAAAGAGAAAAGAACGACCCATACTTCCTCCTACTTGTAAATTGGTGCTCGGACGAACATAACCTCGAATTTTGATGCTGTATTGCTATAGGCGACAACTGTGGTCGACAGAAGCAATGCAAAACTGAGTCGAATCTTTTACGGTAGCCATGTCGGATAACTATCCTGGACAGGACCCCATTCCATCGAATATGAGCTGGGAGAAGGGTGAACGTGTGACACCCGAAAACGGCATGCTTACCGAAGGGTATGTCGCGCGTCAGAACGCATTCATAGTTCGTGATCTGAGCGATCGGCGCCAGCGATCGACTGGCGCCGATTGGGAACGGTCGACACCTAGCACGAGCGACGCGTTCGGTGTCAAACGTGCGCAACTCGCGTCGACCATTCGCTTAGTTCGCAAATTATGAACGTGTCCTCAAACGCCAGAATCCAAAAAAAAATGTGTGCTGCTAATACGACCCCTCATCCCTGGCGTTGGGGAATCCCTCGCACACATATTTTGCTTGGGAAACCAAGCGTGAGAAGATCAGCATTGAGTTGGAAGTTCCCAAGCAGTACGTTTCAAATCGAGCAGTTTTGGCCCTAAAAATTAACCTCACTCTATGTGGCGGCAAAAGTTAAACAATGACGACAGGAGACTAAGGTCAAAGACCTTCAGACTTATTGTTGAGTGAGTCCTCGTTCATCCAAAGCATCGAAGAATCGTAGAATCCACGCAAAAAGAAGAGCTACTCAATGGTTTGGAGAATTAGGGGAACCGCGAATTGGGCGAACCGTCATGGAAAACCGATAGAAGTTACAAATTGTAGTTACATTACAACTACACAGGCGCCATCCCCGTAGGTTTCAGAAGATTGGATGGTAGGACTGGATACTTATCGATGTCTTACTCCGATTCTCCAAATTATGACTCTAATTTGGCGATGTAAGCGTAACTTCGCACAGAATCTTGCAGATCGATGGGAAAAATCTACGGGAACAATGGACTCTACTTCGAATAATAATTGATAAAATCCACATTAATTTGAGCGCAAAAACTTGAACGCTGATGAATAAGAACTTTGGCCAATATTCAGTCAAGAAAAGAGCTCAACGTGAGATAATCAAAGAACTCAAGGCATAATCAACATCTCTACT